GAAGGCAGCAGGAAAGGATGGGGAAAACATCCAGCCAGAAGGCAGAGGAATTTTATAATCAGCACGCTGAGGAGGTCGGCCACTCTCTTGAGGCAGTGGGGGCCCACCCAAGGGTTTTAAGCGCAGGAATGGCACAATCATCTCTGTGTCTCAGTAGTTTGATTCCTCTATCTAGAAACAGGCCTGATACAGAAATCAGCAGACCCAGGTTTGTATCCTGGCTTACTTGCTCTAAGACTGTATCAGTCTGGGCCCAGACAGGCAGAAGACACAGCAGTTATCTGAACAGAGAAAACGTAATGTGCAAAACTGTTAACTGCATCCCTGACAGGGTACAAAGAGAACTCCAGGGTATCGTGGCCGTGGCAGCTGTTGGAAGCAGATCCCACCACTGGACGGAGGAAACAAAGGGAAGAGGCTGGAATTATTAAAACTGAGAAACACAGGGACGTAGTGACTGAAACTCAGACGTCCAAGAACCGAGTCCTCCTCGGCTGCGCCGGCACCTCTGCAGGGGCAGGCCCACGAAGCCGCTCCTGCACCGGGCGGCGGACTGCACAGCAGATTCAGCCACTACGACCGCGCGGCCCCGCCCTGCTGTGGTGCCGGGGTGCCCGCCTGACCCTGACGAGCAGAAGGAAAGGCTGCAGGAAGCAGAGAGAAAGGGGCACGTGGCTCCTTCCCTGCCAGCCTTGCCATCTCCCTCTAGCAGGGAGCCAGCCGGGGCATCACAGAGGGGAAGGGTGAGGTGAGAGCTGAGAGACAATAACTTCACAACTGGCACGGGAATCCTGGAAAAGAAAGAGCACCTTTTTGGGTCTCAGTTTTCCCTGTCTGAAATGGGAGTAAAAAAAAAAAAAAGTACCAAATTCAAAAGATTATTGAAAGGACTGCATGAAACAAACCATGTAAAACTCTGCTAAGGGGCGCCTGGCTGGATCAGTTGGTTAAGCGGCTGCCTTCAGTTCAGGTCCGAGTCCCACATCGGGCTCCCTGCTCAGCGGGGAACCTGCTTCTCCTTCTGCCCACTGCTCTCCCTGCTTGTGCTCTCTCTCTCTGACAAATAAGTAAATAAAACTTAAAAAAAAAAAAAACTGTTAGGGTGCCTGGGTGGCTCAGTTGGTTGGGTAACTGCCTTCGGCTCAGGTCATGATCCTGGACTCCCAGGATCCAGTCCCGCATCGGGCTCCCTGCTCGGCAGAGAGTCTGCTTCTCCCTCTGACCCTCCCGCCTCTCATGTGCTCTCTCTCTCTCTCATTCTCTCTTTCAAATAAATAAATCTTAAAAAAAATAAACATCTAAAATCTTAAAAAAAAATGTTAAAAAATCATTTCCCTTCCCGATTCCTCAAATTGTGGTAACAGCGTCTATATGAAGACAAGGAAGTGTGACCGTTAATAATCCGTGTATGTGTCCTATGAGGCACCCAGATTTTCTCATCTTTTATAAATTACCATATATCACATGGTATGTGGGTCTTACTGGGTTTTTTGCCGTTTGACAACTTCCCCACTCATTTCACACACACACACACACGCACACGGATGTATATGCACACATGCTCCCCTTAGTCGCAGACAAAATTCTCCAAAATGAGGGCAAAAGATATTAATGTGATCAAAGTGTAGTTGTTATCCAGTCAGAACTGGATGAACTCAAGTACCAATAAAGGAAACACAGTATCCTCAATGATGTTGAAAAAAGTATAGATTGAGTAAGACTGTAGAGGGCTTTGATTTATTGCTGTTTTTTTAAGCCAGTAGTATGAAGTGGTAAAGGAGGAAATGATAGTAAGTGTGGCATTGGTGGGAAGCAAAACTCACTAATCTCATCTGGAGCTTCATTAGGAGAAGTATAGTATCCAAAAAGAGGTGAAGACCAAGACCCTGTTCTTCAGCTCTGGACATCACATTTTCAGAGGGACATGAGCAAACTAGGGCTCTGTCTATGGCTCCAAACTGGAGGCAACTGCAATGGTCAAGGGTGCAAAAGGCCTCTTTTCACAAACGGTTGAAAGAAATCATCCCATTTAATGGTATATGAAGCGACACTACAGTGCCCAGGACTTGCAGAGTAAATTAAGATGTATCTCAGTGTAATGGATCAGATTATCATCTGGAAATGTGGCTCAAGAGATTTTTCTACAGAAGTGACCACAGAAGCTTGGAAGTCCCAAATACAAGCAAGGTGATTTGGGGGGTGAACAGACTCAGGGACAAGGTGACAGATGTAATCATAACTAAGCTGAAAATGGGAAACCTATTTAGAATTCTGCATAAAGAGAGAATATGTTATCAAAAGGGAGATACTCAGCATAAAGACTAGAAAAGGACAAGTGAATTGGGAAGAATGAGTAAGCATATTTCCCAGAAAGAAAGGGGAAAATCATCGAACTCGGTTTGTCTGCTTTGATTGCCCTCTCGCCAAACAACCTTCTTATAATCTGGTTTCCCATGCAGATTCCTTCTCCCAGACTTCTGCTTCCAGGCCCACTGCAAACCGATCCCAGTCTGCTTCCGTTACAACCTTCACTGTGCTCAGAGCTTTCTTTCCCCTTCAATATTCCAGGAGATTAAGTATTTTCCCTATTTTTCTGGATAGTGAAACTGAAGTCTGGCTGTTCAGTGACAGAACCAGACATGGCTGGCTTTGCACCCCATCATAGTCACGTGCACAAGGCAGCAGTGAGTCTAGAAGCGAGTGCTACAAAGGAGTCAAGGAGGATGTGGACTGAGAAAAACAAGCTGCTATTTAGTGGTCTGGGAGGCTTTTTTTTTTTTTTTTTTATTACGTTATGTTAGTCACCATACATTACATCATTAGTTTGGGATGTAGTGATCCACGACTCATTGTTTGTGCATAACACCCAGTGCTCCACGCAGGACGCGCCCTCTTTAATACCCATCACCGGGCTAACCCCTCCCCCACCCCCTCTCCTCCAGAACCCTCAGTTTGTCTCTCGGAGTCCATCGTCTCTCATGGTTCGTCTCTCCCTCCAATTTCCCCCCTCATTTTTCCCTTCCTTCTCCTAATGTCCTCCCTGCTATTCCTTATGTTCCACAAATAAGTGAAAGCATATGATAATTGGCTTTCTCTGCTTGACTTATTTCACTTAGCATTTAGCAAAAAAGTGTCAGAAGACAACTGCACTAGATTAATAAGCCAGAAAATAATGAAGAAACAGAAGAAATCAAGCACAGAATACTTTGCCAAGAAATCTGGCTGCAAAAGAAAGATGTCATAGAGCTCTGCTTTCCTTCAGCTCCAATGTGATCTTCCCGTCACCCATGAAACACTGCAAAGTATGTCCATTCGGCGGAGAGCAAGAGGACAAACTGGTGAAGACCCTCCAACCACAGATGGACTCCAGAGACACAGCTTCTGTGTAAGATGTAGAAACTGAGACAGGCATCTTCCACTCATTTCTTCTGTAAATGGACCTTTTGGATCCAAACAAATGGGTTTCTCAGAGTCCATCTCTTTTGTACTTTCAGGATACATTTTTCATCTTGAAAGCCAGTGGGAAAAAATCAATTCAGTTTACAATGTTTTAAAAATCACTTTTCTGGAACACATTTATTTAGCTACCTGACAATTTAATAACAAGCTCTCGGAAATACAGCATGTGTTTATATGTGAAATGGTAAAATCAACTTTTTCTTTGTTTTAGCAATTAAGCTTTTTTCCTTTCCCAGAATGGTGTTTCCTTCTATTGATGTTCATAAGGTTTTAATATGATTTTACCTTGTACTGAGAAATTTTATATTTAAGATCTGAGGTTAGAATCATGGGATCACTCTTAGTCGATTTAAATACAAGAGAATCCTCAATCTTGAATTAAAATTTCTGTTTAATGTCTCAAAAGTATTAGAAACCTCTATCACAGAAAAATGTATACTTCAGTAGAATTTACAATAGGGGTTGGGAGAGTAGTACATAGTTTAAAGCATATTTCATAGTTTTAAATGGTGTTAGGAAAAGCACTCCAGCCATTTAAGAGAGCAGAGCATGATTTTTTTTTTATGATAAGCTATGTGATAAGGAATTTTCAAATACCAATGTTTTATTATGTTTAAGCTCCAGATCTTTTCTTACTGTTCATGGTGATACATCTGTTGGTATATGAAAATGAGACACACCAGAAATTCTGACTAGTGATAGGAAGCAGAAACGGAGAGCCACACTGTTAAGCTTTTGCCAAATTACAGTTGGCACATGGATAAAGTGTGATTTCGGCCAATGTTTTCAGTCCTTCTTACAACCACAGTTTGCTAACAACTGTCTGTATCTTTCCTTCTTTTTTCTCTCCCCATGTCTAGAGTTTGGGGAGAATGTAAATCATTTCATCTGAGGCTTTTTTCTCCCCTTTGGTCAACAGAAAACTCAAACATTTACATTTGAATTCATGGGGTTACCTGTCCTTTTTAACAATTTATTTCTGGCTTTGATATTTTTAAAAAGATACAGTCCTTTAGAAAGTAAAGTGTGTTGACCTTTCAAGAGTCCTATATTGAGCAACAAAAATTGATTTATGCTCTGTGATAGCATCGTTAGGTTACATCATGGAACTGCAATACAAATTAACCTTATCACCAAAACCTTTGTGCAATCCTACTTTTCTTGATTCACAATACGAATCTATTCTTGTTTTACCCCTTCTCATGGATAAGGAACTCTACATAGTAAACACACTTGTTATTAATGTGTATCTAGAACTGTGGAAAGAAAGAGAGAGAGAGGAAGGAAGGAAGGAAGTTGAGGGAGGGAGTGAGGAAGGGAAGGAGTTCATTCCCAAAGTTGAGTCTAAAAAAGAGGGTCATTGCTGACCCCTGAGGGCAGTGTGTCCCTACTCCTTGCCTACTCTTTCAACAGTTTACAAATGTCTTCGATACTTTCACTGAGATGCCAAGCTGGCTAGATTGGCCCACAGTTCAGAGAAACTCAAACCAACTTCCTCAGAGCCCGTGGTTACTGTCTGTCCTAGAGGTGGACATGCTTACCCATACTCATCTTGATTGGCAGGTTTTCTCTGCTTGCTGCTTCCACTAGATGTCTCCGGACTTCCATCACTGCCTCTTTGTGCTTGGTGCTCAGTAAGGCTTCCCACAGAGCTCTGGCAGCTGGGTCACTGCAATAAAACCACAAAGGAGCTTTAGAATAAATGTCTACTGGATAACGAGAAGAGTCAAAAGGAAAATAATTTCTTAAATATCCTTTCTGAACACTAATATAGACTCTCCTTCTGATAGGCCTTAAGTACTAAGATTAAATAAAGAATATCTAATCCACTTTACTCAGCACAAAATATTGAGAAATTAAGGAAATAATAAAATCAACACCCCCTTTTTTGGGGGGGGGAGGGTGGGAAGAAAAGCTACATTGTGTTATGAGAAGTGTGAGAAAAGTGTATGATAAATTGTTTTGAGATTTGCATTCAAAAATATTTCAGAGTATAATTCAACATTGCTAGAGTAACATATAAATGGTTTGTAAGCCCAAATTAAAAACATGTCTAAAAATGATTTATCAGTGATTATAAGCTTATATGTTTGAGATAGCATACTTGTCAGGGAAACACAAAGCAATCAGCAATGAGAATTCCTGTTTAAAAACTACTCAATAGACTTCCTAATGAATGGGTTTTGTACTGAATGAAAGTCAGGAATTAGGCTAAGTGACCGTGGCCTTAAGTAGCCCACTTTGGGCCTTAGGTTGTAAGGATGGCACTTCTGAAGCCTTTACAATTAACCGTTGATCCAGCACGAAGCACTGCATTATGCAGGGTCTCATCTGGGCTCACTTTTCCAACAGCCCTCTGTCTCACCCACCATGCCATGTCCAAATTATAAATGAGTACAGTGTTCTTTCCGGAAGATCTCTGCATGTAGCCAAGTATACACATTTGTAGTAACGCTTTAAAAACGGAGTATAAAAAAACAAAGCTGACGTCTGTCCCTTTCTAAGGACATTTTCCCTCCACTTAAAGCCCCACTAACACCTCCTACCATCCAGTGAGCAACAGTTTGAAAATGAATGCATTTTTTAGAGTTTAGTTTTAAAAGTTATATCTAATATGACATTAATTTAACTTGAAAGTTATACCTAATAAGGTGTATCTTTCAAGTTTGAATTTCATTTAGAATAATGGAATGATGTGTTGCAGCACTGAGTTTAATATCTGGCACACAATAATCTTTCATTTAGTAGTACTGTTTTTATTACCATCTATTTTTTTCTGAGTGAACTGACATCACTGCTCAACATATTCTACTTGTTTTGCTCTGATCAAAACTGTCATCATTATAACTCAGCATCCAATATTCTAAGTTTAATTTGAATGAGCTGGTAATCTATATGCCAAGTGCTCATCTCAGTGGTTGCAACATAGATCAGAATGAGGCACACGCTCTCAATGACTTAGAGTCTGAAAGAAGAGGCTGAAAAATTCCGCCCCCCCCCAAAATGTGATAAGAAGCAGGTCCATGCTTGCATAGATTTTTCTGGTAGCACAGAGCAAGGGCTCTAATCCTGGACTCAAAGAATGATTTCCACTGGAAATGATGAGCAAGTACAGAGATCTGTAAGTTCTGAGGGCAGCCACGGCAAGAAGTTGTAACTCAGCCTGGGAAGGAAAGTGATCAAGTCTTCAAGGATATAGAAATCTCCATCAGTAAACAAGAAAACAAGAGGGAGAAGGACATTTCAGACATTTCATTTCAGTACAAAGTCCCACATACATGGCACTGAAGAGTCCTGTTTTGCTCCATGCCTGGATGCAAGGGAGGGGCAGCAGAAGGAAGGGTAAGAGTGGAGGAAGGAGCTACTCTACATATGGCCCTGCGCTCCCTGCCAAGGCTTATCCTTCCGTAGGTGACAGGAAGCCAAGGAGTATGCAATGATTTCACATTCTAAAAAGAGCAGCATAGCTTAGCAGTAATGAAAATGGTCTTTATTATCATTCAAAACTAGGTCTATATTCTATGGGGCTTTGGGAAAGCTACAGTGTCCCCAAAACTCCAACGGCAATAGAGAACCACTAAAGTATTCTGAGCAGGGGAGGTATACTCCCAGGTTCCCCAATTTATGGTCCACAATTGTTCCCTACCTTTTGTTCTCCAAAGCACCTCTCCCCAAGCCACACGGATTTCTCACATATTCTCAACTCAACACACAACTTCTAGAGTAGAACTTCACTGCCCTCCTCTTTTCTATGACAGTATGCATTTTGCTAATACAGAATGTCTCCAAAATCGCAGTAGGCTATGTAATACTGTGATTGGCCCATCAGATTAGTGCAGTGGTTAAAATGTGGGCTTTGGGGTCAGATAAAATCTGGGTTCAAACTCTGACCATTCTCCCCTTCACCCCTAGCAACTACACAGCCTCTCTGACCTTCCTCAGGCACTCCAAGCACAGGGACCTCTTCTCCTTTGCCAGGAATGTTCTTCCTCTACAAATATCCCTCTCTCTCTTCCAGTGTCTGCCGAAACGTTGCCTTATCAGAGAGGTTGCCCCTTACTATCCCATATAAAGAAGTAACGACAGCCCATCCGGGCACCTTACCCTGGCACTCCTCCCCCTTCCTGGGCCTTACTGTTCTACATAATCTTTATTATCATCTGACTGAGCATATGCTTCCATGTTTATCTGTTTGTTGTCTATCTCCCTCCCAGAAGGTAAGGTCCTTCTTGGAAAGTAGGTCCTTGTTTTACTCATTGCTAAGTCCCCACTCCCTAGAATGGTGCCAGGCTCCATGGTAGGTATACTCAATAAATACTGAATAAGTGAATGCATAACGCTTGCTAATTGTATAACCGTGTGCATGTAACTGTTTCCCTCCATTTTCTCATCCTGTGAGAGGGTTAAATATGATAATGCACATAAAGCACTTTCCTGATTCACAATTATTGTTATGGTTGTTGACTACTGCTATGATATTGTCAATGTGATCAAGGGTTTGTAATATATTCAGCTACTTCACTTAATGACACTGAGTATTTTTTTCATACAATCCTGATTTGTTCATATGTATTAAAGTCACATGGGCTTACAGGATCTGGCTGTTTTCTATTGAAACATTTTATAAGAAATACATAAGGTTTCCATGATCTCTAACACTGATGCAGACTCAGGTCATGTTTCCTTGAAAATTATTTTGCTGATATAAACAATTCTGATTGTCTGGATATGTGTGACAGTTTCTAATGTTTCTTCCTGAACAAAACAGTTTCCTAAACACACCAAACCGACCCCACATCATACATGGTCATTTTAAGTTTACCAAGTTAACATGCATGAACAAATTCTGGCTCTCTGAATGACTGGCACTAAAGGGGATCAAATTGTACTTACTGGCAGCTCTGCTGTGTCCTGCACCCACTTCTTCTCCAAGTCACTCTGTTACTGCTGCGTCGTAGTTTACACACTTACTCTTATGTCAGCATCTGAGTTGAGTGTGGGAGTTAATCACGGCCTTTCTTTAATATGCTCATAAAAATTGATCCAATAGACATTTCACACTATTGAAGTTTCATATGAAATCAACTCCTGATGTCAAATTTTATAAGTCAAGAGAAGTTAATTAAAATCCACACTATAATCTTAACAGTGTATTTCGTGCAATTCTTTATTCTTTCCAACTGTGCAAATGTTCTATTTTCCTAATGATGGAATAAGCAATACACAGAGTGCTATCACAACAAGTATAATAGACTAGTGGTAGGCAGTACTGTAGAAGCATGCATTCTGGAACCAAACAATAAAGGGTCTGGTTCTACTCGTTAGCCCAGGAGAGTTACTTAATCTCTCTGCACATGTTTCCTCCTCCATTAACTTGGGGATGATAATAGTACCTAGTCAGTGGATTATTATGAGAATTGAAGGTGTTAATATATCTAGAGCACCTAGAACAATGCCTGACACATACTAAGTGTTCAATAAACATAGCAGTAGCAATAGCAGTGGTAGTTATAAGAAAAAAACCAAAGGTCAGAATTTTCTCATAAGATATAGAAGAAAGCCTGCTTTGGAAGTACATATACATATATGTATATGTATGGATAAATACTGCCAGTAGCTTCATTTTCTAATATGAATAGTTCAGCAATACATAATACAGAATTCATGATACACACTGAAATACTGAAAACTCCAACTCAAGCAATCCTCCTGTATATGACATGCTGATGTAAAGAATTTTGATTTTCAGGAATAAAATAAGAAACTTTTCTATAGATTACCTCAAGACTTACAGCTATAGGAAGCAAAAATTTTTAAAACAAATAATCCAGTTAAAAAATAGGCAGAAACACGAATAGATGTCTTTCCAAAGAAGACATGTGGATGGCCAACAGACACATGAAAAGAGGCTCAACATCACTCATCATCGGGGAAATACAAATCAAAACTCTGATCAGATACCACTTTACACCTGTCAGAATGGCTAAAATTAAGGAAGGTTTTTAATCAATGACTTCTATGCCAGCTTCTTGTCTCATTAATTATACTGAAATTCTGCAAACTACACACAACAGGATATTTTAAAACTAGAATTGTTACTTTTATGAAGAGTTCAGATTCCATAAATATTTCCAGACTGACATAAAGTGGATGTATGACGTTTGGGGTAGAGGTGAACATTAGAGATGGAGGTAAATTAATCATCTTTACATCTTCAGTAGGACACTACCTCACCCAACGCAAACACATGAAAATCTATTTTTCATTTTTGAAGGCACCTAGAGAAAATTTTATAATATTCCTCAGAAAAACACTACAGCTTCAAACAAATCAAACTGCTATTGGATCCTACTCATACCTAATCTAAACCCTTTATGCTCAACTATAAACTTACCTCCTCTTGCTTAGTCTTTTGCCTTAAATTCAGGAACAGCTGGGCAACATCATTTTAATCAGACCCACCCCAAAACAGCTTGTTTCTTTATTTCATGGCTAACTTAAGACAGAGTTTTGAAAGGTAAATAAAATATAATATTTAAAAATACTTTTAAATACCACCACTACCTTCTCTTTTAGAAGCATTTAGGAATCTCACAACAATTTCTTATGTCTCATTTGATCCTCACATCATGAGCTAAGCCATGATCGCTGCCCCAATTTAAAGAGCCT